TGATTCTTAATGGCTAAATTTTTAATCCATTTGTCCATCGTTGAATGCGCACGAAATCGCTCCTGTTAATGTTAACTTTCATCGTTTAATACCCTGTGGTAACTATATATTTGGGAGGTCCCGGGTTCTGATCTCGGCCCGGAGTCCGTCAATCCTGACTGTGATTGTTTATGGTTTTCCTCAGTCCCTTCAGGCAAATGCCAGATTAGTACTTTAAATTAGGCCACGACCGCTTTCTTTCACATCCTTTCCAATTCATTCAGTATTCTCTTATTTGACTCTGTATAGGCTGAGGTACTAAGAAAGCGTCGTAAAATAAACAACAAATTATATGGCACCTGATTTAACAATCAGTTGCTCTACATTTTTTGCATAAGAGTTTCTTACTATTCTTACTGTAAACTGGATTCATTTCCTCAAACAACGCTCACCAGTTGATATTTGTAATGGAGAAGTGTTGTTTCCTTTGAGATACGAAATGGATTCTTAAATATTATTTAGATGAACTTGAGCTTTAAAAGGCTAACGCGAAGCCCCTTAAATATGACAGGGATGATGTGTTTTTGGTTATTGTTTTCGTCTAGGACGGAGGACGATGACGCAACGGGCCGACATGCGAGTAACTCCTTACTTGACTGTTGAAATTTCAATCTAATGCGACTTAAAAGTTTTTCAGTTTCGTAGGCATACCTTTGTTATTTCTAGTCATTTGTTTGGAAAATGCTAGCACGAACACGTTCTTTCGAAAGGTGCGTGCCTTGTCAGCTAGACAATTTCATCCAGCTTCCGAAAGATAGTTAAGAAAAAATAATAGTCTGAATGTTAAGAATATCGTATTCCAAGAAAGTTAGGCAGCTTTCAGTATAGACTTGTCTCCCAGTACGCAACTACTCAATCTGCCTATATTGATATAACGAGCTGCTAGACAGCTATAGTCGTTTCGAGATACTCAATAGATTCTTTAACTTTTACATTTATTCCTATTCAAGGGACAAGGGACGAAGCTAAAATAACATTCCTACCGAAATATTAAACCATCGCCGTACACTTTTAGACCCTAAAAGATTCAGCTTATGAATGCGAGAGTTTCTAAGGAAAATTCTGCCATGCTTTCCTATTGTCACACGTGTCATGGCACATTGTACTGTGCACTTCGCTTCAGTCAGAGCGAGTCTGTGTTACATGAATATCTCGTTTCGTTTTAAGGTACCTGCTTTAGACCAACCTTTCGTCTTAAATTTATTTCATTAGTAAGCGTGGTAAGTTTTCTTGAATAAACGTGTTAAGATGAAGCAAGTTGTTCGACATGAGATATCCGCTTGTTACGAAGGGTCTTTTATAAACCAGAATGTCCCAAACAAAATATTTGAGATTATTGTCCTTCGTACTGATCATAAAGAGTGTGTGTCCTTACTAAACCAAAGTAACAGTCTGTATTTTCTGACTTAGGCCTATAGTCATGAAGGTGTGAAGAGTAAACTCTGCCGTCTTGGGACGTGTTATAAAAACAATTGGCGTCATGTTCCCTTTGAGCACACGAGCCTATAGTCTTGAAGGTGTGAAGAGTAAACTGTGCCGTCTTGGGACGTGTTATAAAAAACAGTTGGCGTCATGTTCCCTTTGAGCACACGACAGCGATTGTTGGCAGGGTGGTGATGAATGAAACCATTTCTGACCAAACATTATGTGCTCAGTAAGTTTGATATTTATAATTCAATGAAACTGTATGCTGTATCTCATTGTGTTGCGAACACATTTCCAAGATAGGGATAGTGGATTTAGCTTGTGGATTGCACTTTATGTAGGTGTCCCGAATGTACGCTGTTGGAATCTCGAGAAACCGCTCTGACAGGTTGATATTTATCTTCGTCTTTATCTGTCTCGTCAAGTAATATTCAGGATGCTAACTTCGAGCGTGCCAAATGCGTATTACTTATGATATTCGCTTCACATTTCACGAAAAACAGTGTCTGTATTTGTTACATGGTTGTTAAAGAGGTCAACTTGAGAATAAAATAATTAGTCATTCATGTAAAATGCGGATCAGCGTCGTAGTATATAGTGAGTTTGTTTTGTTACTATTTTTATGCGGGAGGCATATAGCCTTTGGGAATACACTCTAAAAATTTAATTCATTCCTGTCTCATGAAGACATTCTCTACGTAATCGGTCGTGGTCATGGTGTCTAGAGTCTGCAGTTGAAAGTCGCTGAAAAATTGCCTTGTTATTTCTGGGAATAAAGAGTTTATGTGTTAACTTTAAAGCTGTCGAAGTTCGTTCTGGGGATGAGGGTAGATGAAGTTGTTTTTCGTACCCATGCATGTTAGTGGAGTAATTTAACTTAAAAGGGCTGGAGGAAATCGTTATTACGGTGTTGGTGTTGCATTTCCCCTTCAAGCAACAACATAAAAGGAAGAAGAATTTGTTTCTATTAAATAATGAAAAGTTAAGAGCACGAATTCGTTAAAGCAGAAACGTTCACACGGAAAAAGCTGTATAGTCTTTTATTGACACATAACACAAACTAAATAAATATTACATCACGACATGAAAGTGTCTCTGTCTCACATTTTACGCAAAAACCCCAAGGAGTAAGGGGCGTAAGCCTAATAATCACGTATCTATGGGATAAAATTCACTTTTAGTAAAAGAACGCTTTAATGTTATTTTAGCGATTATTTATCTGAAACTTTCTTATGTACATATGTCGTATATACAGTAAAGCCCATTTAAGCCTGCATATGGATACAGGCTATGTAATACGTTTTGTGGAACTGAATATTTAATGTAGGTTTCTTGCAAGAAGTATATTGGCTAAATCAGGATTTGTCCGCGATATTAAAAGCCGTTCGAAAAATATTTCACGTGCCCACTGACGACGATAATCTTTGACAGTAGTACAGGGTGATTCAAAAGTCGGTTTGAACACACAGGCCTTAGGTGGCGCACGTGACTTCTCATACACTATGTACAAGCCTTTCCTTGATTTTTATACTAACATAGTACATTTCGATAGCTGAAACAGACAAGTAGTCTCAAATATTTTCTAATGCAATTTTCCCATGAAATAATACCTACACACTTACATTACCCTCTTATAACTGTTCTTCACTTGGTTTAATGGAATTTTGCAGTGTGTGTACGTTTTTGCTTTGCCCAGTGGAAAAAACAAAACAAAACAAAACAAAACATTTCTTCCTCAGGGAACTGTTCAAAGAAGGACTACATAATAATTTGTATGGCGCTTCTAGTCTGATTGTGTCAGTGTCTGTTGGTAGCGAACGAGGTTTCTCAGTCAGAATAGTGACTAGGCTATGGCCTGGACGACCATGGTTCGATTCCCGGCAAGGGCAGAGATTTTTCTGTTCCGTCGCGTCGATAGCGGGTGTGGGGCCAACTCAGCCTCGTGGTCGTTGGGTGCTGGGGACATTTTGGTCGTAAAGCTGACCACTCACATCCATCTAGTGCTGAGGTTGAATGATGTGTGTAGCTATACGCACAATCGCATGGCGTAGTGTTTGATTACGCACCAGGAACAAGTTCCCCTTTATGTTTCTGCACCTGCAGTAAGATGTAAACTTTTGCCTATTTCCTTCCTCCCTTACAAATTACGCGGCGCCTGCAGACAGTGCGTTACCTTTGTCCAGATGAACCTCTCTGTATATGCCGAATTATTATCTTTAAAACCTTAAAGTCGCTTGTTTTGCCTAGGTATTGCCGTCTTTCGAAGCTGTTCAGACTTAGGATTGCACTTTCTCAGTATACCTGCTCTGGTAATTGACCATACATGTTTGGGATTTCTGAGGATGTGATGTCCTAATTCTTTGTAATATAAAATAAGTTTAGGGGTTTGCGAGTTCTTACATGCGGACGGATAGATAACCACACAGAGTGGTGAAGGTAACAGGCTCATTTTTGCAATCTTTACTTGTGAACGCCCAAAATAGCTTTCAGATTGCACCAAAGAGTGGATATAAAGAGTGAGTCAGAAGTATGCTTACAAACTTCTTGTGCGTTCCAGGATCAGAAATAAGAAAAAATGTTGCTATGGACATGAGGTCCCAAATGTTTCATTTTCGAAATAATAGCCAAAAATTATTTTCAATGTATGCCTTTATTGCCAAGTATAAAGACGGATATTTCTTTATAACAGGTGCTCAAAGGTTGTTCCGCCATTCTCCACACATGCCCGAGCACGACGTACACAAGACTGACGAATTCGTTCGTACACACCAGGGTTTCCTCGAATCATCTGGCATGCTTTCTGCACACGTTCCCATGGGTCGTTATCATTGTTTATGGGTGTTGCATAAACGACGGACGTCAAGTGACACCACAGATAAAAGTCCAATGGAGTCAGGTCCGGTGACCTCGGTGGCCACGCTACTGGGCCACCACGTCCAATCCATCGCTGAGGGTACTGTTCATTGGGATGATCTCTGACGCGATGGGAGAAGTGTGCTGGGGCTCAGTCGTGCATAAACCACATTTGTCTTCTTGTAATCAGTGGCACATCTTCAAGGAGACGTGGCAAGTGTCTTCTTAAGAATCGCCGATATGAAGGTGCTCTTAGACGCGATGGAAGCATGTGTGGACCAATATGCATGTCGCCAACAATTCCTGCCCAAACGTTAATTGAAAATCTTTGATGGAAGCTGGATTCACTTTGATATAAAGTCAATTCATTGAAACTCCTTTTTTGCTATTATTTCGAAAATGAAACATTTGGGACCTCATGTTCTTAGGAACATTTTTTCTTATTTCTGATCCTGGAACACGCACACGAAGTTTGTAAACATACTTCTGACTCACCCTGTATAGTGGAAAGAAGAACTTTATGGTATTACAGAAACTAAGTATAAACGAACTTAATGACTTCAAAAAGGTATTTAAGAATGAGCGATTCACATTTTTGTCACTTAGTGAGTAAATATACACAGCCAACTTATGGCTGACGAATAGTAAAGATGAAAAGTCCAGGCGAATGGTCAGCAACCGAATTATCGAAACAAATGCACATTTATTCCATCTATACATGCCCATTAATGTAAACACCATAATAATTTATAATTCAGTATGAAGTAATTATGATAAATGTATCCCATCAATTTATGCACATTAATTTATATAAACCGAAGTTCTGATTAGAATGATCTCATTAATATGTAAATTAGTTTAACTTTGGTTTTAAACTTTAATTTTAAAATGAACCATTGGCCAAACTCGTAAGACATTTCTTGCTTACTCTGTAATTTTGATGCTTAACCTTTGCTCTCTAGTATTAAGAGGCTGTCTGCACACGTTATACCGTCGTAACGTCAAGTGCAGTGTGCCACAAGACGCAAGGCGCAGTTCGTTCTCATTTCGTCATAAACTCTCGCCACTTCCACTTCGTCGTTCCTTCTCGTCAACCCACGCGCTCACGAGACGCTCCTCGGTGGTGAATGGACTTAATGACTTGCAGCCACTGCGGACAATGTCAGAACAGGCTGTGTGTGTAAATGTCTGTAAAATACTAGCATGGATCCTAGCGTCGGTTAGGAAGTCTGTGTTACAGGCCATTGCCATCTAAGTGCCTACGTCTGAACATGATCTAGTTGAGATTTCTGTCTTCTGGGTTGTTGCGCTGTGTAGTATGGTAGATGTTTACCAACATTTAAGAGCTCATACTGCCGCCGTCATCAGGGCGATTGGTAAACATCTACCATACTACACAGCGCAACAACCCAGAAGACAGAAATCTTCATACTCACCGCTGTGAAAACCTCAAATCATACGTGATCTAGTTAGATCGAAACGTGTAGTAAACAACAAAATGAATGATGTGTGTATGATTATTTGTAAACTTTTTGTTATCTTAAATACACAACGCGATGATATATCTAAAGTATATGACTTATTTAAACGTTTCTCACACTGTTAATTCGTTTCTTTCTGTCGATTTGATTTTAGAACTAAGCGTCTGATGGTACCTCATTTTGTAGCCATGTTACGGACGTGTAGTAAGAAGTGTTGATGCTGTTTTAAGTTACATAACATCGTTCATGTACCCGTGTCTTGGCGTGTATTTCTTGTTTCATTGTTTGAAGAAAATCTTAAACCTAAAATGATAGATTCTGGAGTCGTATATGCGTAGTCTAAGTTGGGAAAAATAGTTTATGTGCTCTGTTTACACGAAGTGTGTGCAATTAACTAGTACTGGGGAAGTCGTCTTTGCACAATAAGAGATGCAAACAGTACGATCAATATGAAATAAGCTAAAACATTTGTATCTGCAATAAGTGAACATCGAGAACATTTTGGAGTATCTGTGTGCTCGACTCTTGTTGGAGGGTGTACCGCTGCGCGCCTTGTGCAGACGCTATGGGGGCTGTATGCCCTTCGCCATGCTGCCTGCTGCCTAGCTGAGTGGGCCGGATCAATGGCGCGGGAACCCCCAACGGACTACACAACTCCATTCATAACGCCCTCTGTCTACTAATCAGTCCAACGCGGATCAAATACCGTTGCATCTTCTGGGCTATTCTGCTGTTAAAGTAGCCTAACTCTCAGGATTTCACAGAAACAAATCCTAGTTTTCTGATACACAAAAAATATTAATTAGCCCACAGATGTCATTTCTGTCTTGTAATGTGAATTCCCATATATTGGTTCTTCGCGATGATGGCATTAATTTGGCCGCATACGTTAGCTTTTCGTTCTAAATTTGAATATTAACTCTCTTCAGTGTCATTATGATAACACCAAACCAGGTGTGAATAATTACATTTTGCTATTTCGAAGGGACCATGGGGCAGATAACGTGGGTAGAAATATTATATAGTAGTTTCATATTGCTAAATTGTTATACACAATTCGTGGTGACTGTACGTAATTATACATATAAGCTTGCCAAAATACATATAAATACAATTTCCGACATGACATCATAAACTCTGATTGGTGGTCTGAAACGCTTCCCCGCGAATCTACATCAGCGCTTCATATGCGTCAGACCGCAAGTCCGAATCTTACCCAAAACTGAATATCCTGATTGAGGTTTTCGTTGTTTTATCCAGTCCCTCCGCCCGTACGCTTGGGCAGTATCTAAGGCTAGGGACCCACTCTCGAGAATTGTCCAATGTTTCTGCAAACATTGCAGTTGCCGTCTTCACGGTGAATGTGTGGTCTTTGGATGGCTGTCCGCTCTTCAGCGCCACCAGTCAACACCATCATATCCTGCTCGCAACCTACTGCCTACCTTATTTATATTTGTTTCATTAAAATATTTTTTGACGTAAATACGTCTATATTTTCGGGTCAGTGTCATTCGGAAAAAAGTGAAACGAAAAAGTGTAACTGCATTGTTATGTTACCTTGGAAACGTCAGTTGTTTACTCGGCATTGTTGTTACCTATAAAACATTTTATTACACTACCTTACATTACATTACATTACCTTACATTACATTACCTTACCTTACATTACATTCATCTACCACAGACCCATGTTAAGCGTAACTAATTCAAGTTAAATAAGCAATGTCTTAATCAAACTTTACTCAATTTTAAAGCATGTATAAAGGAAATATTTAGAATAAAGCCAATATATAAACTTCCTTTCCGTATAGACGTATTTACGTCAAATTCTCCGGAACCGTGGTTCCACTATCACTTTTGCTACTGTTTGCCCTTACGCTTAGATAATGTGTGTGTGTGTATATATATATTTCTATGTGTTCAGTAACAGAAAATGTTACTCTTCTTGCACTGGCCGATTTCAAAATAATATGACGGGCCGCTCATAAAGTTTGCTAGGGCTGGCCACAGGTTCTCTACCCCCCGTGTTACGTCACCTTTACGACTGATAATATGTCTTTAGTCGAGTGAAATAATTGTTATTAAATTATACTGTTCACATACAGAGTGCTACTTAGTGGGAGTTATTGAATAAGGACTCTCTGGAACAATGCAGGTTCCCTTACATCTGATCGGGGTGTGCAAAGCGGAACGTCATTAGTACAGACTGCCGCTGTGGGAAGGGGTTTTGGATTGGAAGATTCGAAGTATGTGCTAAAATTACTAGTTAGTTGCTTAGGACATAGTATCGCTGACTTTAACTATGAGTGGGTCTGAAGCGAAATCCATAACATGACTAAAGATTTTATCTTATGTATTTTTCTTGGCATCCCAGTGACCTCTGTGGTTTAGACGGAAGTAACGCTGACTTCGCGAATTATAATCTCGTCTGATGCGTGATTCCTCTTCATCCCCTTGAATCGATCTACTCATTATCAGAACCTTCCTCAATTAGGAGCCATTGACGACCCTAAAGGCGACATGATGCAAGGTTTTCCTTGATACAATTTTATACCAGAGAAATTGTATGTTAGATTTAATAGCTTTATAGAATAGAAATAATGTTTGACCGATCATGACCGAACTTAAATTATCACAAATTTTATTATTGGCCTTCAATACAAAATTTGTTTAATCGCTATGATAAGGGACATGTGTTGCTGGAGAAAGGCTGATGAAAGTTTTGTAATGCGTCCAAACTGAGAAGCGTGTGGAAGCAAAGAGCGACAGTTTGTTTTGAACGTTTTAATTTAGTCTACGTTAGAAGTAATAATTTAAAAAAAATATCATAAGAGCTGTTCTGATTTTGGTCAGTTTTAACTGCGAAACACGAGACTGCACATTTTTAACTTAATTAAAGTGTAGCCTACACACGATTCAGTTAACCCTTTAAAGTCCAGTTATAACTCTACTATGTACCTCCAGTTTTAACAGTAATTAATGTTGTGTTTTTTCTCTCAACGTGTATTTATGCTATGTTTGGTGGTCTCTTGTGACCACGGCATGGCGCGACCTCAGGTTGTGGATGGAGGAGAGGGCCACCGGATATGGAGGGTAGCTGCGAAAATGTTGAATAAGCAGTCGCGGACAGCCGACAAGGGTTGGTCCTCCAGTTTGCGGGTTGGGAGTGGGGATAACAACCTTTCGTCGTAAAAACTTTGTTACGAAATGTCTAAAAGAAAGAGACCGAGTGTACAATCGACTTTTCAAAGATTATCCTGCACGGTAGAGTGAATGAATGAGTTAGTGACGTTTATTTATTAGTTTTGTGTGATTCTGACATTAAACAGCGTGGCCGTTTAATCTGCATAATGGAAAAGCGTTGTTTCTGTTTAGTTAGGAGCTGAGTGTTTAAATTTATTAAGAGGAGGACGAAAATTAAATTAAGCTGCGTATGACGTAATTTTTGACAATAATAATCAATTTTGATTAATTATTACCGTCGTGAATATTAAGAGAAGTAGGCTGAAATATATTTGTGCAGCTTCTTTTTCATATCTGTGCAAGTAAACTAAACAATATTTCTTATAACTTTTTTCAAGTGATCATTAAAGTTGCCCGATCTAAATGAAAAACGAAGTGGTTCGACGGTTTTTCACAAAATTCCCGTCAGCACGAGCAGCCGATTTTAATGCAACTAATTTTGTGTTGTCCACGTGTAATTTCTAGGTTAGATTTTCACGAGCTGCAGTTCTTACTATTCTGTCGCTGTAGATTTTACATTTTAGTTTCACAGACATTCCGCAGCATGACATGAAACTGCCAAGTGAGCAATTAATTTTTTCGAATAGCTAAGAAAATTATCCATGTCTTGTGTAAAAATGCACAAACCACCAGTAGGTATTGCTTGAGGAGTGAGGTAATATTTCAAAATTTCCAACACACGTTCCGATTTTGACTGTGCAGGAAAATTTTCAAGACTTTCCTGTTATTTACTCATGAGCTACAGACATTTGGAGAATGTCAGAAAATGTAATGCCTCTGTAGTATTAATACATTGTAGTGTATGTGTGTTTTTATTTCTTCGCGTGAAAGAAATCTGCCATGTCCGGTTGAATACTGGAAGCCTGTTTCAAGACACGCTACGCTTTGACCATACATGTAAGGAATGGGTTGTGTTGTGTCTGTTGTACGTAAGGACGCGGAGAGACCATAGCGAAGCTTTTATGCATTGAGCTCAAGATTAAATGTATAAGCTTGACCAGCTGGTACATTCAGGGTGACGGAAAGGGTGCGCCGTTAGTATATCCCAGAATTTACTCTGGATTTCAGGAAACGATGCTTGAAAACGACAGGAGCTGTCTAGGCTGAGTCTCCTGGTGGCTGGACGTTGGGTTGCCGTCTTCCGTACAGATAGCAGGGAAATGGATCATATTTGTGGCACGGTTTTATTGTGTTGCTGACTACCCTGCATATCTCTTCTTCGCATTTCTGTGGTCTTTCTGTCTCTGTGCGACTAAATGTTTACTTATCAAGATTTATTACTTTTAAGTCTAGTTTGTTATTAATAATTCATAGACTTCCATTCGCTTAGAAACTTGTTCGCCAAGTTTCCTTTTCGTTTTAGTCCGTTATGCATCATTCATTAAGCGTAATACGATTTCATTCATCCTAGTAATGACAGAAAACACTTTACAGTTTGGCTTTTATCTGACAGATTTATAAAAGTACGTTGAACAGTACGTACACGCTTTTGAAATTATGATATTATAATGCAAAATGTTCAGTCGTCACTTTTTTAAGTCGTTCAAGAGAAAATAATGCGTGCTCGCGTGTGTATGTTAAGGACAAGACAGACATCTCTTAGATTCTGGTAAGGGCGGGATTTGGAAACAGACGCAGGGAGGACCAAGTATACGATGGTCATATATCACCACTAGGGTACATGTTAAATGATAAAGGTGGCCAACAAAGCCTTTGATGATATGAAAAACTGCCTGTGTTTGTGTGACATACCACATTGAGAAAACAAGCGGAACAAACAAATTTTGTAATTATTTATTTAGTACTTGTAGCTTCGCCATAATTATAGCTTGAGGTGTTTGAAGGATAATAGGTTTTCTTTCTAGAATTTCTCGGTATGAAAATTACTTGATCGTAATAACCTTATCTTCTCCACCTCATGATTGGAATTTAGTTTAGAGCTCATCAGTAAATTATGCTCGTTAATCTGTCAGGTATTGGTTATATATATGCCCAATGCCGAAATTGATTTCTGTAATATAAATTGAATTTTAGTTACGTTTCTTGGCTCATTTCTCTTTAGAGAAATGAGCCTTAGTTAATATTTCGTTTCTTTTTGTGTGCTGTTTGCTCTGAGGACGTAGAGTTTGTTAGTCCACATGCTTAAATTTTGATGTAATGTGTTATTGGTGATTCAACTAAAAGTGATTTATACTTGTCCATAGTCGTCTACTATAACTTAATTAATACTTCACACGAAGTGAAACTTGGCCGTCATTTTCCTCAGAAATTGTTCGTAGTACAGAAAGATTGTTACAAAACACTAAATGTAGTCTCAGAAATTGTTCGTAGTACTTAAAGATTGTTACAAAACACTAAATGTAGAGCTCTTTCATGATCTGTACTTTTATTTGAAACACTTTCTGGTATGTGAGGTAGATTGAAAGAAATAGAAGAAAATGTTTATGACTACGCATTGTTAAATGTGTCATGATTTGCTTTGCAACGAGAGATTCGTTTACAATAAATGAACATCAGGAAACAAGCGGTGTTTAGAATCGCAAAGAACGATTTTTGAAAAATTTTATTTTCCAACTATACACATTTGTTCTTTTTGTATGTTAGTTCGATGTGGGATAGTTTTGAATCTTCATGTACGTACATGCATTTGACAGTTTGGTGTATATCCATGATATGGGATGTAGAATTATGTTCCATTAATAATAATGTAGATGGTGTTGTTTTAGAAATAACGTTTGATTACAAAGGTTTGGTTCTTACAAAATTCAGGAAATAAAATTATCAGCTGAATTGTTGATTGGGTTAAATGTATGATTACTTTTGTGTAACCTGCTTTCAACGTGTGGAATGGATTCTAACCCGTGCGTCAGAAAAGACATTTCACAACAACGAATGCCAGTTTGTATTGATAAACCGAGACGACGTCGAGGAAAAGTAATCGACGTCTATATGGATTTAGCGTACGGTTATGGCATAAATTGTTGGCAGCATTAATTTGCTCTGCTCTTATTCGAACGTACTGAAAACAGAAACCTGTCATTGAAGACAATTTCAGGAGACGTTTTAGTTGGTTACTAGGAAAAGAGACGTATATGAGTAACCAAAAGAGTTGTGTGAGCAAACGAAATGAATGGACGAAGATGGCTGTTTCTGGGTTGTTGCGCCGTGTGGTCTAGTAGAAGTTGGCCGGCCTCTCCGAGGTGCTTGCTGTCTTCATTATCAGGGTGATGAGTAAGCCGT